TTATGAACTTTGAATTGTACTCTATTCGTTCTCATTTTAATTGGAGATATATATATATATATATATATATATATATATATATATATATATATATATATATATATATACTTTCCAAAAATATATATTCGTTTCCCAAGCCAACAAATATGACTACAATTTTTTTTAAATTAACAAAATGGTTAAATTAAAAACCTTCTATTATTTAAGTAATATAAATACATAAATTAATTTATCAAGCTAAAAGAAACTAAATAATAATTGCATTATAAAAAATTCACCAACAATAATACCATGTACATACTTTCGTTCATCCGAAATTTAGTTATATCACTTAGCATACTCCATAGTTTACCTTAACTTGCAGTTAGTCAAAAGCATATTTACGAGCGTTTTTAAATTTAAACATTCTGAAAAACTAATATTTTTACTTCTGTTTATAAATACTTGTTGGAACATAAAATCCTTTCATTTGTCTTGAAAAATTCATCAGAAGACAAAACTTGTTGGTAAAGTTTTCATTTTCTGTTTATTCACACACACACACACACACACATATATATATATATATATATATATATATATATATATATATATATATATATATATATATATATATATCATTATTTCAACCCAAACAAGGCGATAATAACACTAAGAGGAAAGGGGCTACTGGGAGTGAATGAAAATGAGAAGATTTTGTGAGAAGGAACCGGAAACCTATCCAAAAAGGGAAGCAAACCTGTATTTGTGTGTGTGTGTGTGTGTATGGGTGTGTGTGTGCCCGTGTGTGTGCGATTGAATAATCAAAGTCTATAAAACGTGTAACTTTTTTTTACTCCCACTATCGCACATAGGAACAACGAAAGATGCCTTCCAAAAGATGAGCAAGTATTGAGAAACAAGAACATTTCGTTAGAAACAAAAAAGTGTGTTGAACTGTTATGTAATATCTTTCCTTCTCTATGCCAGTGAATGCTGGACAATCTCGTCAGAGATTAAGTATAAACTTGTGGCAATAAAATGTGCTTATATATATATATATATATATATATATATATATATATATATATACGCGCAGGAAAAAACACACATGCACGCACACATACATTAAAAAAAATATTTCATCAATGAAAAGTGCATATAAAAAAAAAAACTCGAGAAATATAATAAGTCAATTGTTATATATATATATATATATATATATATATATATATATATATATATATATATATATATATATATGTAGTAAATGGGAAAAGTTTTTAAATCTAACATGTTTTGATTTTATTCAAGTTTCCTCAGATTGAGACATGGAGGGAAAAAAAGAGAAAAATTGCTTGTTTTTTTGTTGTTGTTTTTCATTGGTGAAGCAGACTTCACGTGTATTTGTCTTGAACACTACTTGACAAAACAAATGAACGTGGAGTCTACTTAATCAATGAAAAGAAAAATTAAACACAAAATTAAAAAAAGAAACGAATTTATCTTACTCTTTCCCCATATCTCATTCTCTGGCGAAGCTTGAATAAAAGCGAAACAGTTTAGATTTATAAACGTTTCCTATTTGTTCTTTCTGCTATCGTTCTCTAAGATCCTGATCCATATTTGATATGCATTTGATCCCAATTCATATATATATATATATGTGTGTGTGTGTGTGTGTGTGTGTGTGTGTGTGTGTGTGTGTGTGTGTGTGTGTGAATTTAGATCAAATATGGATTGGAATGATTTGATAAGGAACGAATAGGAAACTTTTAGAAATCGAACATTTTTTCGTTTTTATTAAAGCTTAATCGGGGAACAAAAAATGCAAGAGAAAAAGAAAATGTTGCTATTTTTAATTTTATCGTTGTTTTTCATTGGTTAAGGAGACTTCACGTGCATCTATCTTGTCAAGCAGCGTTCGTATGTATATTCATGTGTGTATGTGCATCATAATTCAAGTTTATCTATGCGGGAATCTGATGATAATATATATTCGTTTGTTTGCGCGCATCCAGAAGGCATTTTTATCCATGTTTGGTGGTTGTCTGCATGCTGTGAGGGTGGAAGAATTTAAATTGCGCAGGTTGTGGTAACAGGTAGACATATCCTAGACTCTTTAAGTATAGTTTTTATAATGTTAGTGATATAATAAAGAGTATTTATAGATGGTAAAATATTTATCAGAATTCCCTCAAAAAATTTCCTGCGTAAAGAATTATGTTCGTTTCTAATTAGGGTAGCATTTATAAAATCGATATATATATATATATGTGTGTGTGTGTGTGTGTGTGTGTGTGTTTTAAATATGTGAGCTAAAATAAGTTTGTTGCGTAAATTTGTTTAGGATAATCTCTTCCTTTTTCTTTTTATCTAATCTTAATTCATAATGGATGCGTTAATCTCCCTTTCAGATTATGTTTATTTCTTTCTTTCAGCCTATCGAGATTACAGTCGAACTGTCTGTTCAGATTTTTAGCTATTTATACTTATTATCTCATTTTTCTTTTTTCCGGTCATATCTATATCTATATATATATATATATGTGTGTGTGTGTGTGTTCCTATATATATATATATATATGTGTGTGTGTGTGTGCGCGCTCGCGCATTTACGCCCTGTCTGCGATGGTTAAATTGTCGCCGTTTCATAATTTTAATTTTGCGTAGGCGCATTGTTCGTTTTCGATTTTGTCGACTGTCCAGCATAGTAGGGTCAATTGGGCACCGCCTGTGAGAAAAACAGCGCCATGACGCAATTAATTCCGCCAGAAATTTGGAGACGTCATACTCTTCTGCTTGGCATTCACGCCGGAAGCTCCAATACGTCAGAGTGCTTGGGTATCAATGTGAGGAGAGTGCAGAAGATTTGGAAAAAGTTGGATGAGTCTAAGGGTGATTACGATGGTACGATGGTTGGGAAAATCACTCTTATCGTTCTGATATGAAAAGACCTCCCAAATTTGTTGGTGAGGGCCTCATAATCAATACTACTATTTAAGATATCTTTCTCGGAGGATGAAAATATTTGCATCTAATAACTATGATCACTTCCTTTTTGCGGGGGTAGGGAGGCACAAATGCTTTCGAAGTTCAGAGGGTGGGATTCACCCTCTCGTTTTTCCTCGCTTAAAAACTTAAAATATATATATGGGCACATTGACGTGGTGTAATGGTTAGAATTACAACTGAGTAGTGAGTTCAATCCTCACTGGGCGCCCCATACTTTCGGCCTTGTGCCACATCTAAGCCGGGCTTAGGAAAACACTATATATATATATATGTATATATATATATATATGACTCCGTGTGTGTTATATAATAAAAGTAGAGATAATCTTTAAAAATTCATTTCGGTTATAATTTATTTCATGATATATTCAAATATTCTTTAAAAAAGGGTCTGAAGAGATGAATATTTGAATATATTCAAATGAAATAAATTATAACAAAAATGGATTTTTAAGGATTGTCTTTACTTATTATATTTCTCTGTTACTTACATTGAGCTCTCTTTAAATTAGTGTCCTTCTTGGAATTATCCCTAACAGTTACCAATTGGTATATATATATATATATATATATATATATATATATATATATATATATATATATATATGTGTGTGTGTGTGTGTGTGTGTGTGTGTGTGTGTGTGTGTGTGTTTATACATCTAAGATATTTCGCTTTTATTATAGCTTCATTATAGAACGAGATATAGAGAAAAAGTAAAAAAAGAAAAATGGTGGAATTCTTATTTTTGTGTTTGATTTTCATTGGTTAAGCAGTAGGTGAGACACAGTTAACACTCAGTAACACTTACTTGAGCTAATTTATAAAAAGCGAGCTCAATAAATCTTGATAGTATGATGTGATCATTATTTCCCTCTGAATTAAGTTATTTATGAACATTGAAAAAGGAGATTATGTTGAAAATTAAATATTCATTGTGTAAAATAAATAATTTTTTCAAGGATAAAAGAGTAATACATTTTAGACACACAAACACACACACACACACGCTCGCACACACACACACACACACATATATATATATATATACATACATATATATCACGTATTTGTTAGCTTTTTCGTATTCTTGTTTTTTTTCTTCGTCTCCTTCTGTTTGACCTTATTCGTCATACTCACGCACACAAACACGCGCGCACACAAACCCACACTCAAACGCACACACAGACACAGAATCCTACACTCGTAAAATGTTCTCCGCAACCAAAAACTTCCTGGCACTCTTCTCCTACTCTCTATTTTCATTCTTAGCCACATCCTCCCTCTTTTCACTCTCTAATTTAACTTCTTTCTTTCTTTCTTTCTTTCTTTCTTTCTTTCTTTCTTTCTTCCAATCTTGACGGTTTGATTCTTTGTCTTTCTCTCCTGATGGCGACATATTTTCTATTCGGTCATTGCACTACTGTTCTCTTGCTTTCTATCTTTATCTCTTCACCCTCTCTCTCTCCCTCGTTTTCTTTTGTTTACTTTCTCTCACTTCTTTCTTTTATCTTGTAGTTTTCGGCCTCTCTTCCAAGTTGTTTCACCTAACGTCCTTTCCTTCTTTCTTTCTTTCTTTCTTTCCTTCTTTTTTTCTTTCTTTCTTTCTTGTTGTTTAATAATTTTTTATTCCCCCATTTTACTCGTTTTTACGCGTTTCCATTATTCTTTCTTTCCTTCTTTCTTTCCTTCTTTCTTTCCTTCTTTCTTTCCTTCTTTCTTTATTTCCTTCTTTCTTTCTTTCTTTCTTTCTTTCTTTCTTGTTTTTTGATAATTCCGCCCCCTCCATTTTTCTCGTTTAGTTCTGCCTTTTTTACGCTTTTCAGTTATTCTTTCTTTCTTTCTTTCTTTCTTTCTTTCTTTTTCTTTCTTTCTTTCTTTCTTTCTTCATTTTTTTTTAATAATTCTACTCCCCTCTATTTTTCTCGTTTAGTTTTACCTTTTTTACGTTTTTTTTGTACTTCCTTCCTTCCTTCCTTCCTTCCTTCCTTCCTTCCTTCCTTCTTTATTTATTTATTTATTGATTTCATTCCTTCTTTCTTTCTTTCTTTCTTTCTTTCTTTCTTTCTTTCTTTCATCAATTCATTCATTCTTTCTTTCTTGTCTACTTGCTTCTGTTATGTTGTTTTTTATTATTATTTTTATTTTCTTTCTTCATTCTTTGTACTTCTCCACCTCCACACTTTTCTCGATTAGTTCCTCCATTCCTTTCTTTTATTTCTTTCGCTTATTCGACATTCTTTCTTTCTTTCTTTCTTTCTTTCTTTCTTTCTTTCTTTCTTTCTTTCTTTCTTTCTTTCCACCTTCCTGGCGTGATTTCGCGTTCATTTATTCTTTTTACCACTTATTCATCCGCTCATTCTTGTTTCTTTCTTTCTTTCTACTGACTGTTCTTTGTCTCAGTGAGGGCGCACATTCCCAACACACACACACACACACACACACACACACACACACAACACACACAGACACACACGCACCACACGCACGAGCACACACATTTAATGCATGAATGTACTCACACAAACCTTTTCCTTCAAAGAAAAAATAGCGCTTACATAAATGGAATACGTGATATATACAGATATTTGAAATATCCATTCTCCCGCATACACATTTAAACACTCACAACTCGCTTACTGAGAAAAATACGATTTGTGTGTGCAAAGGACACACAACCCCGTAAGGGAATACATATGAATAAATATGTGTGTCGGGAGGTGAACATATGTGCGTCACTCAAATTTATTAGCTTCATTTTTTAATTGCTCTCTAAAATCTAAATATATTATTGAGCGCCTGCCGTAGAGCGTTAACTAGCGAGTTACTCAGATAAACCAATGCCAGTGAGTTCAAGGTTCAGTGGGTGCAGCGCTCTAGTGACCTTGTGGCAGACTAGATTGATCTGAGTCAGCAAATACCAACCCCCTACTGTAATGTAGTTTCGCTCCTTTGTTGGTACACACACACAAGCGCTAATACAAACGTACACACGTAGAGAGAGAGAGAGAGAGAGAGAGAGAGAGAGAGAGAGAGCAAGACAGACAGACAGACAGACAGACAGACAGACGAAGCTGTTTATATACGTCGTAACACTATAACCAAGAAAGGCAGTCAAACACATTAAGACGGATTTTTATACAAAACCGGTTCAAGCATTTCTCAGTGAGTGTCGTGCCTCTTTCGGTAAAGGCTACGACTTTATAGGGAGCCATAGTGTTTTCAAAGAGTTGCCAAAGTTTCAGCCTCTGACTAGAGATCTTCATATGTAGTCTTGGACTGAAACAAAAATTCGTAGCTTCTCTTTTTTTTAAGCGAATTTCAAAGATACTATTTAGACATTTATATCCAGATTTATTCATCCACGGATGTTCCATTCTGTTCAACTATCTTTCGCAATCCTTGAGACTGCTTCATGATTCAATCCTCCCAGAACATAGCATTTTTCTGGGAGATGAACTGGTCTAAGTTGTTTTTACAGAGCATTGACGTTCTTTCCATTTGTGGGGATCGAAATAACCGGTAATCCGAAGATGCGAGGCCAGGTTAATAAGACGGGTGTAGTAGGATACCCCTGGCAGACTGCACCAATTTCTACCGGGGCTGGCGTCGTCCTAATGGAAGACGATACCTTTCCGATTGGCCAACTCAAATCCCGGGCTCTTTTCATTGATTGCTGCGTTTAATCTGTCCAGATTTTTTTTTTTTTACAGTGAGGTTCACTGTACAGGACCCGCGAGCCACTCCAGGTAGAAGGTTACAGCGTAAGAGGCAGAGTTTATGCGGATGTGTGGGGAAGATAACGGTTAATCCTAGACTTGTTAAGATTGTAATCGTGAAAACAAGCAGTAGTTCGCGGGAAGAAGCTTCTCGAATGGAATTACTTCTCACCATTGGAATACAGAAGGAAATAGGATGGCTCGTTACAACGGGCGTAGAATGACGGGTCCTAACCATAAAGGCTATAACCGATAGAATTAAGAATTTGCCTGAGCAATTTCCATGGAAATAGCGATAGAGCAGGGAGAATCTCAGTCAGTAACCCTCTACTTGTAATTGAGAATAATCTCTCTTTAATGTGCCATGTCCCGTAGGTGATCATGACTCTCCACTCCTTCCTATTGTGGTTCTCAATATGTTTTGTCCTTTTGCTACTTCTCACAGCCCCCGTTCTGTCATCCACTTGCTCGGTATGTCAACCGTTTATTTCCCTTCTCTCTTTTTTCCTTTATCTGCCTTGTGAGTATTAGATTCTCCAAGCCCTTCTTTCACATTACGTGTCCCATAAATTTCAGCTGCTTCTTCCTGATGTTAAGTATAAGCTTCCTCCTTGTTTGCATCCTCTCCAAAACTTCATCTTTGCTCACATGTTCGGGTCATGGCATCCTTAGCATCCTTCTGTATAACCATACCTCCGTTGCCTCGAGTCTCTTCTTCATCTTTTAGGAGACCATGCAACACTCACTGTCATAACGGACAGATACCACATATCAGTTCAGTACAGTACTGTGTGAATTCAACATCAGATTTTGCGAAAAGTGCCCGTAATACAGAGAAGACTTTCCAATCGAAATACATACACAGCATCACCATCAGTGGATGCAGACCGGCTTTAGGGGTTGTTAACGATGTCTCATTTCTTTTTCCACGTGGCTATTTTTGTAAAGAATCAACTTTTCATCGCTTTTGATCGTTATTGTACCCGATTTTGTGAAGTTTGAGCAGAGAACCGCATATGAAAATGCGCTCCATTAAATCTTTTGCCGTTAAATACAGACGCATTATAGCGATTCACGTATCTAAGTGTTCCTAACTCTCATATGGGATATGTAGAGTACCTCTTCGAGGTCTCGTAACGTGTAACCAACATTATTTTGAAACAGCGTTTCGATTTGGTATTCAGTTGCAGGCCTGTCGGAATATTCTCAGTTATACCGATCAAAATGTCCACATTTAAACCGAGCGTCAACCGCCAAATATGACTCTCAGCTAGTGGACCAGCTCCATAATGGTAATATTTTTGCTGTTATTTTTTTTTCTGTGTGTATTTTTTTTCCTTTCCGTAAATGAAAGACATTATATTACTAACTTAAATGTACCTCATTTTCCTCTATTTTCAGTTCGAAAGAAAACAACAAAAACAACAATTTTTAATTCATAATCCACACTCAGAAAGATGCAGTGAAATGTTACTTTTCATAATTCTCATTGCGAGAGCTATTTCCATTGGAAAGAACACTGCAAATCAATGGAATTTCTCATCTTTAGCAACTTTGTAAATGTCGCTTACGAGTCCTCTCCAAACATTCCTTCCCTTGAAAATACTGCAGGCCTTCCAAGATATTTAAAGCTTTTACGGCGAATGATGGAAATATTAACTGCTACATTGCCCTTCCTTACGCTAATACAACTCCGCACGGTAACGCTCTATATTGAGAGGAACTTGCGCCTTGTATTGCGCGGACAATAGTAAGAAATAAAATCAGTCCTCTTAAAACCTTCCTTGTCTTTAAAGTACTGCAGGCCTTCCAAGATTTTCAAAGCATTTAGAGCGAAAGATGGAATTTTTTTCCTCATAACTTGCCCTCACTTAGGCTAATAAAACTCGACACAATAACACTCTACATTGAGTAGCTCTTGGGCACTGTATTGGGTGGACATTATTAAGAAAAATAATCAGTCCACTCCAAAACTTCCTTGGCTTGAAAGTACTGCAAGCCTTCCAAGATCTTCAAAGGTTTAACGGCGAATGATGGAACTTAACTTACTTTTCCTTAGGCTAATATAAATTCACACAATAATCCTATACTTTGAGTGGCCCTCTAATAGGTGGACATTAGTAACAAAAAGAATTGGTCCTCTCCAAAAGCGTCCTTGGCTAGAAATTACTGCAGGTATTACAAGATCTTCAAAGCTTTTACGGTGAATGATGGAAATTTCTGTTAACTTGCCATTCCTTACGCTAATAAAATATCCGCACAGTAATCCTCTGCATAGAGTGGCCCTTGGATTTTGTATTGGGTGGACATTACTAAGAAAAAAATCTCTTGTCAGTCCTTTTCAAACGTTCCTTGAATTGAAAAGTACTGCAAACCTTCCAAGATATTCAAAGATTTTAAGGTGAATGAAGGAATATTTTTCCTGTTATCTTGCTCTTCCTTTGAGGGAACCTTGAGCCTTGTAATGGATAGATACTAGTAAGAAAAAAGTCAGTCCTCTCCAAAATTCATTGGCTTGAAAGTACTTGAAAGCATTTACGGCGATATATGGAATTTTCTTACATGTTAGCTTGCCCTTTCTTACGCTGATACATCTCTACACAATAAACCTCTAATTTAATTGGCCGTGGGCCTTGTATTGGGTGGAAATTAGTAAGAAAAAATCAATCCTCTCCGAACCTTCCTTGTCTTGAAAGTACTGTAGGCCTTCCAAAGTTTCCAGGCGTTTACGTCAAAATATGGAATTTTCTTTCCTGTTAACTTGCCTTTTCTTACGCTGATACAACTTCACACAATAAAAATCTATTTAAATTGGCCGTTAGCCTTGTATTGGGTGAATATTACTAAGAATAAAATCAATTCTCTCATAAACTTCCTTGTCTTTATATTATTGCAGCCTTCAAAAGTTTCAAAGCTCTTACGGCGAATGATGGAATGTTCTTTCCTGTTAACTTACCTTTTCTTACACTAATACAACTCCACACAATAAACCCCTAATTTAATTGACCGTGGGCCTTGAATTGTATGGATGTTAGTAAGAAAAACATCAATCCTCTCCAAAAATTCCTCGACTTGAAAATACTATATGGTTTCCAAAGTCTTCAAAATATTTACGGCGAAATATGGAACTTTCTTTCCTGTTAACTTGCCCTTTCTTAGGCTGATAAAACTCCACACAAAAAACTGTGGTTTAATTGGCAGTGGGACTTGCATTGGGTGGATATTAGTAAGGGAAAAAAATCAGTCCTCGCCAAACTTTCATTGTCTTCAAATTACTGCTGGGGTTCCAAAGATTTTACGGCGAATGATGGAACTTGCCCTTTCTTAGATTGATACAACTTCACACAATAAACCTCTACTTTAATTGGCCGTGGACCTTGTGTTGTGTGGATATCAGTAAGAAAAAAAATTAATCCTCTCCAAAATTTCCTTGCATTGAATGTACTGCAGGCTTCCAAAGTTTTCAAATATTTTACGGCGAAACATGGAAATTGTTTCCTGTTAATTAGTCCTTCATTACTCTGATAAACCTCCACAAAATAAACCTCGAGTATAATTGGCCGTATGTCTTGTATTGCGTGGAAATTAGGAAGAAAAAATCAAAACTCACCAATCACTCCTCGGCTTCAAAATACTGCAGGCCTAACCAAAGTCTTCAAATCTTTTAC